CCCACCCCCTCCCCTCTTACACCCGGCTCCTCGGTCGGTCCCCCTGCCCCTTTTCCGATACCCGCCTGACTTTCTGTGTGTTCATCTGGCGTTTCCATGTACCAGTACAGCGTATTCACTCTTGCCTTCATCAGCTCGAGATTCCTGTAATGCTACCCTTTTGGAGAGGAGTCAAAGGGAATTAGCGTTGGGGTCATTAGAATTGAAATTTTCAGTGTTTTGTATTTTGCCGATGTATGGTTCTCTCCGCGAGGTATATGAATAAAAGTTGCGCTATTTTTAAAACTCCTATGTTTATTCCTCATGCTTAAAGATAATACTCGAAGGGATGTTGGAGCTTTTTGCAGACTTTGTTGAACACGTAAATGATTCTATATTAACGAAGTAACAATTAGCTACGTCTTCTCGGAATGGAACATTTACGGCGGTGATTCTCTATTGTAATTTCATTACTCCGTTTATGCATTAGTTTGCCTTTTCTGATTCATAGAAAACAAAAAATATTATACAGAGTTATGTTATTTCACTATTGGTTACGTTAATTTGAATCGTATACCCTTGCACATTCTTGTGCAAGGATATCATTTATAGACTATTGCGTGGTCAGTGACAGTTACAACCTAACTCTTCATTTCAGTCACTTCGACGGCATTACTGGGGTATTAATGAATAGACATTACTTTAGGGAAATCTCTTCGAAATATTCAAAAGAAAACACAAGTATTGAACGACGCAGCTGGGCCGTGCTTGCATTAAAGGGTACATTTGTCTCCTCTTGTTTCGAAACCAGCAAACTCTCTGAATGGTTCTTTTATGACTTTCTTTCCATTTACCTCCGCATAATATCTCGGTCCTTCAGAGTCGTTTTATAGAATTCTGGCAATGACGTGAACACTCTTTGGCTCTGCCTAGGTTGTTTAAGTCCTCCCATTGAGTATTCTCTTTCATATGCTAACGTTCGGCCACGAGCCGAAAAAACCACGTTATGGAAATATTTTATCAAATTAAAAAGTGCCCGAAATGGCGAGCTGCGCGCGTTTTAAGGCGCTACCTATTTTGAAAACGCAACTTTGATTCGCGGGACTATGCATAGAAAATGAGCGTGCCGTGTCACCAACAACGCGGCCCCTACACATTCCCCGTATGTAAAGAGGCTGTTACGCCGTGCCGAGCTTCGCTTCGCATCTCAAGGTTTTGAAATGCAAAGTTGCTACGGCTCATTGTGAAACATTTTAAAAGCAGTTCTCTGCAGCAGGGTCTCCCGCCCTTTCTCCTCGCCCCAATCCCTGCCGTCCGCCCCCTCCTCCTGCCACCGCGCCTCGGCCCTCGCTCCTGGCCCGGCGTTGCGGTTAAACCAGGGGTTCCCAACGGGGTCGAACCTGATATTATTTCAAGAAATTACTGATAGGTGCAGATTTGTGCAACTACATTCTATTTACACTAATCTATTAACACGTTCGTAAGTTAAAATAGTCAAACGTCAATTAAAATGTCAGTCTCTATTCGTTTACATTGAACCTATCATTCTTAGATCTTGCGTTCCCTCTTAATAAAGCAATGATGATTTAAACTATAGGTCGAAGTTCCTTCATAATTTCCTGGGATTTAATATTTATTTACATGCCGATGTTACATCTCACAGGAATACAAGTCATACCAGTTTATGAAATTATAGAGATACCCATGGTACCCATAATGAATACTTAAATATATGGAGCTCTGTATTTATTTCGAGTTTCCAGTTCCAGTTTCACTATTTTCACGATTTGAAAGCGAAGAACGTCACCGATATATTAAATACTCTTTGTACGAGTAAATGATTTCTCTAAAAAGTAGTAATTAAGAAATTAGGAAATCATGTTATCTAATGCATCGTGTTTCAATGTTAAATGTTCTTTACCTTTCATCAGAATTTAAAACGTTTTAAAACTTCCTCGCAACCGCTGTTAATTTCGAAATATTTAAAACGACTCTCCAACAACAAAGTTTGCGTACTACCCTTGGTGAGGTGTACATGGGTATGACGGCACCTTGCGCGTCTTCCACGTTTTCTGCTTGTGCCTCGGCTCGTGGCTTCGACCCTCCCCTATTCCACCCTCCACCTCCCCGCCCCCCCACACACTCCGCCTGCATCTCACCGCCCCTACCACCACCCCCTCGCATTCCGCTCCTCTCTCTTTCAACTCGTCCCGCCCTGTCGCGCCCTCAGGTCCCTCCAATTCGTCCCATCCGCGTGCTCAGTTCTTCCGACAACCTACGCCCGTTTACTGAGTCGGGACCTTAAGGCGGTGAGGTGTGCTCCCACCCTGCGTTTCCAGGCTGCCTTCTCACCACGCACTTTTCACCGCCGGCCTCTCGCCTCCGCAACTTGGCGTGCAAGTGGCAACACACCAAACATTACGTCCAAAGCCCGAGGACAACTTAATGGAAACCACGGACTCCGCTCCCTCCAGGCGCGGCGAGGCGGAGGAGGGGAAAGCGGAAAGGGCAATCACAACCAGAAAGATACATCCGTACAGTAAGTGTCGGGGAAATGGGAAAGCACGAAGACTAAATTCGAGTGGTCGTGTTCATACGAAGTTCCGAATTTTTTCAGCTTACTCAAACACAAGTTTCTGCACGTGTAGGTCTGCAAGGAATGTCTATTTTTTCGACGTATTGAAGGTGGTGTCTCTTGACTAAATATTTTAGTTAAAACGTTTGAGCAATGAGCGGCATATTTTCTTTCATTCGTTATAGGTTGCAGCATATTATAGACAGCATATTTGTTTAAATTCTTTACATATTAAGCTCAAAATTGCGCATGATGACAATAGTGCGCATGATGTGTAATATCATGATGCACATAAGTCTGACGAGAAGTGTGATGAAAATATAGATGCAAACAATTCGTTTATAGCCCATTATAAACAAAAATCGATTCAGAATATAATGAACGAAATGAAAGGATATCAAGCTTTAGGTTCTTTGTTAATTGTCAGTCCAAACGAGAAATATCGACAGATTCGTCTCCGAAGCGTCTTCTGATTCTGCACATCGCCCAATCAAATTTTTATTAAACCGCAGTTTTCAACTCATCTTTTAGTCACAGTATCAGAGTTTTCGAGCGAAGGCCGAAGCAACCACAAGAAAAAGTCATCACTGCACCACCGCTACCGCCACCGCCACCAACAAAGACGACCGCCAACGCCCCTACCACGCAGCCGTCACACAGCCGCCAT